ACAGATAAAGCAGTAGAGTGTTAAAAAAGAAATTAGATGACTGTCAACTCTTATATTTATCAAAAACCCAAGAAAAAGAAAAATCCACACTCATATTTTTTTGAAATCATAACTATTACTAATAACTTCCATATTTCATTTATTACTTTTTATCAATTGTTCATTAAAAATATCTGTTTTTTCCGACTGGCCTTTTAGTACCAGTTGGATTCCGAATTATTAATATCTGATACGGACGTGGATCAACGGCCCAATATCAACTCGATTGTCTTAACAGAGGGCCCACTATTTTTGCTTGGAACCAATATATGATATATATCCACCAAAAAAAAAAAAACAAAGAGGGAAAAATATTTTCTAAACATCTCTGCTACAGTTTGGTTTTCCCAGCTGCACTCGCCGGTCCGGCCGCCGTCGCCGCAGCCGCAACTGCCGTATCTTCCAGGTTTTTTTTAAACCCTCCTATAATTCAAAAAACCAAGTGATTTGGTACTGGAATTTATAAAATCTTGGGTAAATTTCTGAAATCGTTAGTTTCTTCCTTACAAGAGAGAAAGAAAAGGGGTTGGGAGATGAACTTTAATTTAGTTTCTTCCTTACAAGAGAGAAAGAAGAGGGTTGGGAGATGAAATTTAATCAAGGCAAGTTCTCGTATCTATGAGTTTCGTTCTAATCAGGTGGATTAGGGCTAATGGTTTTAAATGCTTTTATCATATTTTGGTTGATTAAATGACATTGCTTAGTGCATGTTGTCTTTCTTTTGTATGTGGTTTAGCTCCATGATACAATGGATCAGTAGGGTTGTTTTCAATTGTGAATTTGAGGTAGGAAAGAAAACTAGGTCTTTGATGTAAAAGTTGAATCCTTGTCTACTTCTAGTTGCAAAGAATTTAGTATTTTACCTTTGTCTTAATCCAAAATGAGCATTTTGTAGATTGCGTTGGTAATTTTTTTTTTAGTGTTTTATGGTAGTGCTTTCACTTGGGAGCTGGGATATTGGTTGGAGATTTTACATTTGGCAGTAGGATGAAAGCTAATCAACGTTACAACTGGCGATGGATGAGAACCTAGTTTATTAAGAAATTAGCACATTTAGTTTTTAATTGGTGATTGATGAATTATTGTTTTGAATCTTCTGAAGCAGGATAATAAATGGCTGGTGCATCCTCGTCGCTGAAGGAATATTTGAAAAGATATCAAGATGGGAATGAGGAAGAGGACAAAAAGAAAAAGAAGAAGAAGAAGAAGGCTAAACAGGTTGATACTGGTGTAGTTGTTGTTGATGAAGATCCGTATGGCAAAAACCAGTGAGAATTGAAGAAGAAGAGGAGAATGATTCAGCCGGTAAGTTAGCAAAGTTCTGCCCTTTGACAGTGTACCTTCTAAGACTTTTCAATTTTTTAAGTTGTGATTAATGCAAGGTGTTCTGTGCAGATGAAGAGAAGCCCGTGGTTGATGAGGACATTGAAGTCAAACGAATGAAGAGATTGGAGCTACTCAGAGCTAGACGTCCTTTTGGCTCCATATCTGAGGATGGAAGTGGTTGGGTTTCAATCTCTGATGCTCCTAAAACATCAAACTTTGGTGACAAAGTCTTGGATATCTCACCACCACGTAGGCGGAGGGCTGACACACCATCTCCAGAACATGATCTGAAGTCAGCTAGCGGACGAGATGTTGATCTGTCACCACCTCGTAAAAGAAGAGTTCGGAATGATACACCTTCTCCAGAACCCATGCTAAGGCCTCCTGGCACAGGTGATGCTGAATCGTTGCTAGAACGGACACGTACAACTCGAAATGATTCACCTTCACCAGAACCTGATTGGAGATCAAGAGCAGCAGGTGCAGATTTCTCACCTCCTCGGCAAAGACAGAAACATTACCTAAAAGAAAAGGATGAAAGGGATATTTCTCCTCCTCGTAGGAGAAAGGCTTCATATGATACTTCATCATCAAAATCTGGGTTTGGACCTTCAGAGTCTCGAAGAGAAGTTGTGGATCTTTCACCCCCACGACGGCAAAGGGTACGCCATCTGTCTCCATCACCATTGACTAGGGAAGAAACATCAAGCCCTGGAGATCCAGATTCTGACCTCTCTCCTCCCCGTCGCTTTCATCAAGATCATTTACATACCTCTCCAGTGGCAGATCTTTCACCCCCAAGGAAAGGTAGGAAGGATAGATCTGTATCAAGTGATCTCTCTGCTCGACGGCCACTCAGCACTTGGATGAGAATGATGCTGCACAAGCATCCTCCGCTTTAGACCTTTCTCCTCCAAGGAAAAGGAAGGAGAAATCTCCAACTTCAAAGCAGCAGGTGAAAACTGGTCTAGTTACTGGGCAAGACCTCAAAGAAGAAATCGCTAGGAAGAAGAAGGAGGATATGTTGAGGTTTAAAGAAATGGATCCTTCTATAAGTGGTCGAGGTGCTGAGCCTGTCTATCGTGATAAAGTAACAGGTAAGAGAATGTCAAAAGATGAGTTCTTAAAATCGCAAAAGAAGGAAGAGAAGCCCAAGGAAGTCAAATTGGAATGGGGTAAAGGATTGGCACAGAAACGAGAAGCTGAAGCAAGACTGCAGGAATTAGAGAGCGAGAAAGACAAACCCTTTGCAAGAAGAAGAGATGACCCTGAACTTGACAGAATGCTCAAGGAAAGAGTCAGATGGGGTGATCCTATGGCACACTTGGTCAAGAAAAGGCAGTTTGAGCCAGTTATGGAAGATTTAGGTGATGATGAGAAGATGAAAGAATCAGGCTTCATCATTCCTCAGGAAATCCCCAGTCACAGCTGGCTAAGAAGAGGATTAGATGCTGCGCCAAACCGTTATGGTATTAAACCAGGGAGACACTGGGATGGCGTTGATCGCAGCAATGGTAAGTTTACTTCCACCTTTTATAGAGTGATATAACCGATAATGTGGTTTCTGTTGTTTCGCACATTGGCCCCATGAATATGCTTTTGTCCAAACTCATTTACGTTATCAATGTTGCTACTAATTATCTGTTTGATCTTGTGCATCTACTAGGTTTTGAGAAGCAAATGTTTAAGAGAATGAATGAGAAACAAGCTACAGAGAGGGAGGCCTACTTGTGGTCTGTGTCTGATATGTGAGGACTAATAATATCAGCATCATGTGATACTGACGGTTGAAACTGTAGAACAGATGCGGATAAGGGATTTACCAGGAGCATTGGATGGAAAATCAACACAGGAAAAAGTTCGTTTCTTCTTTTCTCCAACAAGTTTATCCTAGATGTGAGATAGAGGTATATTTCATGGTTTTTGTTGTAACTTTTTTTTTTTTAATTCGAAGAAATTGAAAGGAATGCTTGGAAGCAGTTGCCGGTTTGGAATTTTTGCTGTTTCTTTTTATCAGATTTTGATTTTTTACTAGCTTATTGATGTGGAGCATCTGGCCAAAAAAAAAATTTATAATTTGCTACAAGCTGTAAAGTTCTCACTATGTTCAATGATTCTTGGCAAATGGTATGTCTTACCAAGATGAAGTTAGTTGGTTTGCTGGTCCCCAGATAGATGGATTTTTGCAAGTGTAAATCTATGAGACCATTTTGCTTCATGTGGATTTAGCTCGAGGACATTTGTATTGTCCAGTATTGCATTTTGAATCTGATTTGTAGTTGACTGCACAGTCCATGAGATCTTTACTTATGGATTCTGTCTTATTTGCTTTACGCTCGTACTTTTCAAATGATGTCTTCACCCTTTTGAGAAAAATGGAATACTTTGTTGCATTTTGATCAGTTCGTGTTTATTTCGGAAGTCTTTCATCTGCTGCAGCTAAGGGAATGTCTTTGTGACATGAAGCAGGGAATTCAAAACATGCAGCTACTTAGATAGGGAGCTAATGCCAGTGGTATTGATTCGTGTGTTAGGACACAGTCAAAGTTTAGTCAATTTCAAGACAGTGGAAGCAAAATGATGATCGAAACCATGAATTGGATGAGATTTTACTTGGATGTTGAAACATACAGGCAAAAGGTTGTGCTTTGAGCTGTTTCACAGGGTTCAAACTCACCATAGAATGGAAAAGCTAGTGCAAGCCTGAAGGATCTTGCATGAAATATTGTGTATTTTAAATTTCGTTTCTCTCGCTCTTTTTTTTTTTTGGCCCAATACTCCACGTTTTTTTTTTTTTTTTGGGTTTAAGCAACTCTCTGGGTATAGCATGATAATAAACGAGGTTTTGTCAGTGCAATGATCAATTCTCATCAAGTTGCAGCATTTGATTAACTGAAACTGCATCTTAATGACGTTTAAGTGAAGTTCACTCCTTGCTACCATTAGGGATGGCAATCGGGTCTAAATCGGGTTGATGGGTCGGGTTGAGATCCGGGTATATCAGAAAATTCGTTGATTCGAATCTAACCCGTCAACCCAAAACGGGTCAAGATATCTGACCCCGAATTCGAAAATTTCGGATTGACGAGTAATTTTAATTTATTAATTTACTGCTGTAATTTTTAATAAAATTAATTTCACACAAGACTAATTACATAATCAAATAATAAAATTTAAATAAATAATCACAAATCAAATTTAAAATAAATTAAAACACCGTAAAAGTGTTTTATCTTAAATCAAATATAAAATAAAGGGCAAATTATCCAATTGACCCTTTAACTCTTTGTCTAAGTAAAATTAAGCCCCTCATCTATTTTTTGCTGACTTTAAGCCCTCGAACTTGTAAAATGGGGAACCCGTGGCCCTTTCAGCCAGTTTCTCCGGTTTTGCAACTGGAGAACCAATTCACACGAATGCCAGTGTGGTTCTTTCAAGGGCATTTTTGTCCTCATATTCTAAGCAAAAAGGGCACACATAATCCACCTTCCCTCCACTGGCTTTGAAATCAACGGGAATACAGTGGCCAAAATTTCCCCAAATGCCCGCCTAGACTCGTAAACGGACTTCCCAAAAACTACTGAATTGGGTAAAGAAAAATAAATATTCTCAAAGATGCAAGACTTAGGCTTCAGATGAGACATCAGACAAAAGGATCCAACCCCATCTTTATCCACAACCAATACCTCTCTTTCAATGGCGATCTCTTCAGCCCCTCGCCACCACTTCCTCCTCCTGGCCACCTGCACCTTGCTTCTGGTAACATTCTCCAAGCCTACACTCTCCGCTCAGCGTTGCCCGGACTGCGGCGCCACGCCGTTCCCTACCCACTAAGCATCAGGCCCACCTGCGGCGACCAACTCTACAAGCTCCGCTGCAGCGCCGGCTCACTTTTATTCGACACCTTAAACAACACCTACCCGGTCACCTCCGTTTCCCCTCAACTCCAGCGTCTCACCATTCAACCCTCCCCTTCCTTGCCTTTCAACATCACCAACAGCAACACCATCTTGTACCTCAATTGTACCCAGACTCTGTTGATCTCTCCTTTGAATTGTACCTCAAGCAGTCTCTGTCATACGTTTATCAACGGGACCAGGAGTGTCAGCGATGGCGGCGCTTGTGAGAATTCGGAGATATGCTGCACGTTCAGGCGCGGCGGGTCGGCGACTTCTTATTCCATTCGGGTGAGGGATGCGGGTTGCCGGGCGTACCGGGCTTTTGTCAACTTGGATTACTCGTTGCCCGTGAGTAGGTGGCCGCAGCCTGGCCTGGAGTTGCAGTGGGTTTCGCCTAGTGAACCCATTTGCCGGAAACAAATGGATTGTGACTCGGAATCCACCTGTGGACTCGACCCAAATTCGAACAGTGGGGTCTGGAGGTGCTTCTGTAACTCCGGCTTGCACTGGGATGCGATCGCTGGATCATGTTCCAAGGGTAAGAAAGACTTCTTGGAAGCGGCCGAGACACAGGTCCAGTGGACTTTGCGGGTGTGGTGACGGGGTGGCAGGGTTTTAGGAGGGTTTTTGAGAAGGAAGAGCAGAAGGGCTTGTCATGAGGAGGGGTTGTAAGCAGAGAGAGCTTCTGGGAGGCCGCGGCGGCCGCGGCTACTGCGGTGGCGACAGAGACGGCCATGGGATTGCGGGGGTTGCGCAGGGAAGAGTAAGGGGAGTGAGGAAATCAAATAGAAAGGTGGACTATGTGCGCCCTTTTTGCTTAGAATTGAGGACAAAAATACCCTTGAAAGAAGCACACTTGCGTTGTGTGAATTGGTCATCCGGTTGCAAAACCGGAGAAACTGGCTGAAAGGGCCACGGGTTCCCCATTTTACAAGTTCGAGGGCTTAAAGTCAGCAAAAAATAGATGAGGGGCTTAATTTTACTTAGACAAAGAGTTAAAGGGCCAATTGAATAATTTGCCCTAAAATAAATTAAAACAATATAAAAGTAAAAAATAATATAATACATTATTTGTCTAAATATAATAATTTCAACTTCACACAAGTTAAATAAATTCATTTAGAATTAAGTGATTAATGTCTTTGGAAAAAAAAGAATAACTTAGTTTAGTTAAATAAAGGGAAAAGAGTTCCAATGGCCCTCCAACTCTTTACCAGGTAAAGTTTTAGCCCTCCAACAATTAATGGTAAAGTTTTGGCCCTCGATCTAATAAAATAGCATATTCATGCCCCTTCTGTCAAATCCAGCAGTTAAAATTGACGGAAAGTATTATCTCGTGAGATGCACGACTAAATATCAAGGGCATTTTAGTCTCTAAAGAAGGGAACCTGCAAATCTAGAAAGGGAGAGCTTTGGCTGACCCATCAAGATTGCAGATCTGAATTATAAATTTGAGGCTTGAAGTGGCAGAAGGGTGAAAATTGGGGGCAGCTGGCAAATCATGATTCATCAATTTTGGAACAGCAGGGCAAGAACGTATGCAGTATGCGCCTGCACCACAACCTGCCATGTCTGCAACAGCATTACTATAAAAACTGCTCAGATTGGAGCAGCAACAACTAATGTTTCACTCCTGAAAGGGTTCGGGATTGTTTCGTCGGCATCAGCTTCCGTCGGGCAGCAGGAGTGGAGTGGGAGAGCAATTGAGTCTGATAGTCATCATTGGCAGCAGGCCTAGGACTTGGGTTGCCATGTGATGGCGGGTCCCTTGGTGGAATTCTTTTTGTCAACCATTAAAGACCTGCAATAACGAAGGCAGAGGTACCTTTGGTTGACGAAGGCAGAGGTACCTTTGGTTGATCCAGACACAAGGAAAAATGTATGTCTGATGTCTGAGATTTATTGCAACACCAAGATACTCTGCCACTTTCGCAAGTACTTTGGCAGAACCTTGAGAACCAGAACTCCATTTTATGTATTTACCTCCAATAGCCCAAGATGCAGATGGTGGGAAATTTGAATTCTGTGAAGGCGTATGGACATTGAGATGCCATGCACTGCAAAATATTCAGATTGACTAAGAGCAAGCAATGAATTGTGACCATCTGGTTCCAGTTGATGCACAACAATTAGCACTTTCGCTGTAGCATTCGGATCGAATAGTTTGATTTTTTCACACTAGGGTTTTGGACCAAAAGGAGTGGAAATTGTTGGAGGGAAAATCAGTGGTGAAAGTGTTTTTACCCTTTCTTTGCTTAAAGACTATAATACCCTTAATATTTGGCCGTGCATCTCGCAAGATGATGCTTCCCATCAAATTTAACTGCTAGATTTGACAGAAGGGCCACAAATATTCTATTTTATTAGGTTGAGGGCCAAAACTTTACCGTTAATTATTAGAGGGCTAAAACTTTACCTGGTAAAGAGTTGGAGGGCCATTGGGACTCTTTTCCCTTAGATAAAATAATTTTTGTGTTTATTAAATTATTTTTAATTCATAAACAGGTTATCGGGTCACTCACGGGTTGACCCGAATCCGATCCATTTTCTTTTCGGGTTCATCGGTTTGACCCGATTCTGACCCAAACCCACGAAACCTCAATCCAAACCCGTTAATTTCGTGTTAGATTCGTGTCGTGTTTTCAGGTGGTCGTGTCAGAAAGTACCATCCCTAGTTACCATTGGTGGGAAACGTACAGGGTGTAGTGGGTGTAGTAACAACTCTATACCCTGTGAAACAAGTGCACATCATTATCAAGAATTTAGTTTAGTAAGTAGGGACGTTAGTTTGGTGATCTTGAAATCTTTAGTTCGACTTTTATCCTTTTAAAATAAGTGAATATATATATATATAATTAATCTTCTATATATTGATAGTGTATACACTTTCACCATTGGATATATAATACATAATTCAAATTTGAATTTGAAATTTAAATTTTATATATATATCATGCATCCAATCGTGATAGTATATACACTATCAGTGTATATATATATATATATATATATATATATATATATATCTATCTGAGCAAACATAGAAAGCTTATGCCATCAAAGCTAACATCAGGCTACTGGCCTTGTATCGGGTTCGCTTTGTTTGGGATGAATTCTCAAAGATGTGGAGCTCAAAAAGAAGTTTTAAGTTCTTTTAGCTTAGTTTTAGGGCATAAAGAAAATCAGTGGATTTCAAACTCTACCTGATTTAAAGGGACTTTGGGGTTAGTATGATTTTGTTGGTTGAGTTCCATGTGAGTATTGTATTTCTTATAATATTGGGTGAGCAAAACACACGACCTTCCTATTTGAAGCAACAATATAACATAATTGTGTCCTATATATATATTCCATTGATACCCAACTGCATGGAAACTGCATAAAACCCAACCACATATGCTGCCACAAGATCCAATATTAATGCTAATTCATTCGGATTATAAGGTGCCAATTGACATAATTAATCTTGGATGCAATGCGTTCTCCCACCTAAATATAGTAATAGATGATATCAAACTTTTGAAGTAGAATATTTTTGTGTTAATCATTCATCTTTATTATGTGGAGATGCCACCTTTTGTATTCATGGTTTAGCAAAGTTTTCCAATTTACTGGTTAATGATGTTAGGTATAAACATCACTTCCCTGACTTGCAATGAATTAGCAGTTGCCACATTATGTAATTATTACTATTGTAATTATCACTTCACTTATACGTACAAAAATGGCTTTTGACCTAAAAAAAAAAATCCAATCTTTACTCTATGACAAGAACTCTAGACTGTAATAGACAAGCCTATAAGTTAAATACTCCCTCTGTCCCATTTTGATAGTACTAGTTTTTTTTTACATAATTTAAAAAAAAAAGTAGTTAACTTTATTGGAAAAATAAATTTAGGTTACTATTTTTCTAAAATATCCTTACATTAAATAAAGTACAACTTTATATTAATTATTTATCAAAGCTTGAATTGATGGTTTATGGGAACTTGAATTGATGGTCAAGAAACAATCTACATTAAATAGGGTAGTTTATACTAATAACAACCTACATTGAATAAGGGTATTTTAGAACAATTAAAGATACTCCCTCTGTCCCATTTTGATAGTTCTAGTTTTTTTTTCACACAGTTTTCAGAAAGAAGTAATTAATTTTGTTAGAAAACAAATTTAGATTGCAATTTTTCTAAAATACCCTTGCATTAAATAAAGTTGGCTTTTGGAAAATCTAAATGCATTAAATGGGGTAAGTTATATTTAATACTAACAATCTATATTAAATAAGGTAGTTAATAGTAATAACAACTTATATTGAATAAAGGTATTTTAGAAAAATTGAAAAACAACTACATTCTTCAATTGAAAAGTGGACTATAATTTGGAACAGACGAAAAAGGAAACATGACTATGAAAGTGGGACGAAGGGGTAGTAATTTCAAACAAGGTTTCTCCAATTGAGCTCTGTCCAATTCTAACATAATTTTACAATATTTGAAGCAAATTGATACAATTATGGTATAATCGTGAACTTTAACTTATAGTTTATCAAATGATAAATTTCACAATGACACCAAGATTGTACGAGTCATACTAAAATTTTGTAAGAATTATATATTAATTGAACAAAACTTGATGGATGGATGTTGCAAGAATTATATCCAATTGGACAAAACATGACAGAAATCAAGAGGAGAGGGGGCGGATCCCAAATATTGAACCTCCATTGTCCACAATTTCTAAGTCCAGTGTAGTCCCACGTCATAACCAACGTTAAACCAGATAGAACCAGAACAGGGATAGAAGAAGATGGAGAGTTCCATTTAAACCTTCCAAGAAAGGAAAGGAAAGGCTTTCCTGAAAGGAGCTAAACTGCATCATCTGTGTGTGCTGTATGTGTCAGTGTGTGACTGTGTGAGAGAGAAATGAGTGCCCTTTGCGTGCAATTGAACATCAACAGCAGAGGTGGTTGTTTAGCAATGGCAGTTGCCCAGCAGAGCAGCAGCAGCAACAGTAGTACGACAGTTCAACTTCCAGAGGAAAAGGTTGAGAAGAAGAAGAAGAATTCCAGAGTCTTGATATTGGGAGGCACCGGAAGAGTTGGTGGCTCCACCGCCATTGCTCTCTCTAAACTCTCGCCTGAATTGCAGATAATCATTGCTGGTCGAAATAGGTAATCTCATTGAATAACTACTGCTCAGAAAGTATTCATCCATTGTTTTTAATTCGAGCATATCCCTTTCACTACTCCAAAATCATGTGTTCTTGGATACTTCGTGCAATATTACAGGGAAAGAGGTGCTGCCATGGTGGATAAATTAGGAGACGACTCAGAATTCACTGCAGTCAATATTGATGACTCTAAATCATTGGAAGCAGCTTTAGCTGGTATTTTGTTTGACTCCTTTCTCTGATTTGCTTATATTTGTGCAAGATGATTTCTTTTTGGGATGGATATTCACGCGTATTTTCTTTTATTGTTACAGTAGTTCATTGTCTGTCTGCAATAGCATTTACAAATTTGGTTCCTGTTGTTTCAGCGCATTTGACTGGGATTTGCTTATAACTTGTTGGGCATGTGTTATTTTGCCGAGTTGATGCATATCGGGTTCCTGTTTTTCTTGGAATTTCTTCTCACTAGTAGGCCAATTTTGGTATATACGTTGAAAATTTTGTGCTAATGTGATTAAAGAAGTCTGCAGCTCAAGTTTTTGAAGTTGTGGGTTTTATTCAGTGCTTAAAACGTACTCAGTCAGCCACTATCACAAGAGGCTTCTCTTTATTCCAAGAGAGCCAGAAGGAATGAAATATACTAGCTTCTGATTCACTAATCAATTTTCTCATACAAAAGCTCTGAGTTGAATCACATCCATATCATTTAATAGTGTTTACAATGATTTTAATGACTGCAGCTGGCTTCCAGGTACCCATATTCGAAGCCAAGATCATGCAACTTGTACTTTGTATGAGAGCAAGTGGTGTTAGTTAATATAGCCAATTTTGAAAAAAAATTCATGTTGATTATGAACCTGAATATGGGTACTTATTTTTCTGCCAATTTTGGAGACACAAGCAACTCTATGTCCTTCTAACACTAATTAATAAAGATATTTCTCTTTCACCTTCCCCTTTTTTTCAGTATAACAAGTCCATGGAAGTTTTCTATATCCTTTATCATTACAAAGCAACAGCAGAAAGTGCAATGTAGGGAACTGCATAATATTCTTGAGAGCTGCTAACTATATCAATTCAGTGTACTAATCCTGACTTGTACTGGGTACAAATCAGATGTGGGACCTTGTTCTTCATACCGCAGGGCCATTTCAACAGGCTCAGAAGTGCACTGTCCTGGAAGCTGCCATTCGGACCAAGGTGAGAGAAAGGTAATCAACATGTTTATAAGTTCTGGAATGCTGTTTTTTCTAATACTCTAGGTCCCACAAGTCTAAAGATATGATAATGCTGAGTTATTCTGATGAATGCATGTAATCACTGCTTACTAGTTTATTCATCCTCAGACAGCATATATTGATGTATGTGACGATACAAGCTATGCATACCGTGCCAAAGCTTATATGGATGAAGCTGTGACTGCAGGCATTCCTGCCATAACAACTGGTGGAATCTATCCAGGAGTTAGTAATGGTGCTATTAAGTTTCTTCTGAACTTCCTATGAATTCTAAGGCCTGCTTCATATACTGAGAGAGCCAAAAACAGAAATTGGATTGCAGAAAGCAATATCTTGCTAAGCAGACACTACATGAGCAATGCTTTATGTCTTTGTTTTCTATATGAAAATTTCTTGATAGCTGGAGCTCTATTTCTTCATTTCAAAACTCAAACTTTTCTAATCTGAGATCACCAATAGGTGCTCTTATTTACGGATAACTTGCTGTGTTGTATATCTTAGTACTCTTACAAAATGGCCATTGATTCTTCCATGCTTCCAGCCCTATATTTGGAAAAACTTCTCTTTCTGTTTGTTCATTTTAGGTCATAGATCCTCCTTGTAAAGTTGTACTCCCACATGTTTTAAACGTGCAGAACCTTATGTTTTCTTAACGAACAAATCCTGATTATCATTCTAGAAAAGCAACATATTTTGTCTTGACTGTTAATGTTTTCTCTATATATTAAAACTCGATTTTCTGTACCATCGCTGGGCAGTTATGGCAGCAGAACTTGTTCGTGTGGCCAAAAGTGAAAGCGAAGTAAAACCAGAGAGGTTAAGGTAATTTGGTGTCCTTGTTAGATGTCAAAGTTGTCTCTTTGTGTGTTTCTTTGGTCTGAAGGATGTGATTCAAACAGGCTTATCTAAATTTCAAAAACTTAAGATATAACGAATAGCTTCTCTTACAGTTAAACCTCTTCTAGTATTCCACTTTCTTCATCACAGGATATCTTTTACAATCCCATTTTTTCCTATGCTGCCATTTGCAACTTTATTTATTTATTTATTTTTTTTTTTTTGGTTTCATCCTTCAACAGCTTCTAAGTATGCTCTAATCATGGATTGACCACTTTTATTTTTGGTCTCTACTATTTGTTATTCACTTTAGATCTTAGAGTTTCTAAGCTGTTTTTAAACCTGGAAAATGTTGCCATTTGAAAGTTTTGTCAAACATGTGATATCTGATATCTCATGGTGTCCTTAGGCCTCTTACCTTACCATCTAATGCATGGATTTTCTATTCTAATTCCACATTTGAGCCTAAAGTAAGTTGCATCTGCTCCAAGTGCCAAGAGTTGATGTATAAAATGGTCTCGAATCTGATCCAGTTACATATCATTCATGCATTAAGTAAGAAATCCAGATTCAATAGTTATCCTCCAATGTGCTCGAATTTGATCAGTCTTATTTTATTAATGTGTTCAACTAATAACCCTATGATTGTCACAACTGTAAAGAACTAATAAATATAGATTAACTTTTGTAAAGAACTAATAAATATAGATTACATACTTTTTGTAGATTTTACTACTACACAGCTGGTTCTGGTGGTGCTGGCCCAACAATATTGTCTACTAGCTTTTTACTTCTTGGAGAAGAGGTAGTTGCATATAACAAAGGTCTGAGTTTAAAGTGCATTATGGCTTTCTCCTATTTCTTTGGTTAATCAAATGTTACTGTGCATTTGACTAAATTATTTGATTATACATTCAGGGAAAAAAATCAACTTAAAGCCCTACAGTGGAATGCTCAACATTGACTTTGGAATGGGGATCGGGAAGAGGGATGTTTTTCTTTTGTAAGTTCTTAACTTAGGAACTTCTTCACTGACACTTAACATAATGACTGTAAGCTACTTTTGTAACCTTGCAACTGAATGTTGTCTTCGTCTTTTGTTTATTAAAAACTTGTGTAACTACTACATATGAAAGTTCTTCGATGGATGTACATTGCCTACCATTTGATCTACTTATAATAGCTTCAATTTATATCCTCTGTCCATTTAACATAGGGGTGTTAGCTATTCCTCCCTGTTGAAGAGATAGTTAGTAGGACGAGCCTGGTGGCAGATTCTAGAACTCATCCTCTAAGAGCTTCTTTGGAATCTTTTTTTTCAAATTGGATCTTGCGTTACATGAAGAGCTGTGTACTTTTAGATAACTTGTCCAAATTTCTTTACAATTTGCATCTGAAATTGCAACCAACATTCCTTGTATTGGAATAGAATTTCTAAATTAGTTTGACTAACAGCTTGTTTGTCAGATCTCTTTCTTACTACACATAGTTCCTGATTTCTGGAAAATGTTGTCATGTGTTGATGAGTACTTTTGGCAGAAATTAGTTTTTACTTTGAAAGAAACTTCTTGGGACTGTAACTTCGGTGATTTGCAAAGACATCCCCTGCATCATGTGCTTGTGATCATATTTGACTGAACTATTTTGCTAGGCCAATTTTGAAGTAATTTTTATGAAAAAAACTTTAATAAAAATGATATTAACTTGGTGTTGATGGCTTCTGGATTGCGAATGTGGAAGAGGCATTCTCGTGGCTGCTTGACACAGTATAGAAAAAAATCGTCTTCTTTGGATGTTGTTCTACTGGATTATATTTTTCATTTTCTTCTATGCTTTCTTATTCTTCAGAAATTTGCCAGAGGTGCGTAGTGCTTATGAGATCCTTGGAGTACCAACTGTCAGTGCTCGGTTTGGAACTGCACCATTCTTCTGGAACTGGGGAATGTTGCCATGACAAATCTGCTACCTGCTGTATGCAACTTATTAATTTATTCATCTTGATTAGAAAGTTAAACTTTTGCATAGAATTAGCCACAAAGTACAGTTGACAATTGCTTTTAGTTTAGAGTGAGGGCTTGTATGCTAACTGCTTCATTGCTTCAGAGTAGGTCTTTCTCCTGTTTAACATCATCTCTTCTCTTATCATTTATCAGCTTAATGTTTTGTAAACTTAGGCACAAGCTATTGTCTTTTCCATTCAATTTGATTTATACCATAAAATTCCTCAAATTGAAATAATTACACTCAGTTTATCAGTGTGCTTTGCTCATTCATACTTTTCTGATTGACTGGAAAAGACTACCGCATGCCCTGGTCCATTTTTGTCTTCCTCACGTGAAAGGGATAGAAATAGTGAGAAGTAAATTGATAGGGTAATATGAGTATGCACTGCATGTCGCTGGTGTTTGTACAGTATGGCAGGCAGCAATGAAGCTAGACAAGCTTCTGTTGTCCAGAACATAATGAGTCAATGATGCTAGTAACTTTAGCTCTTTCTACTGTCCTTGCATGATCCTGCCAAAATATGCAGGAATTTTTAAGAGACAGAAGCAAAGTTCAACAACTGGTGCAAGCGTTTGAACCACTAGTACGAGCAGTAGATAAATTTGCTGGAGAGAGAGTTTCAATGCGGGTGATATAAATCTTTTCCGATTACCTATAATAATCTGAAATCCATATGTTACACAGACTTGTACATAGAACTTCTTTGCTTGATCCATTTATGTTATGTGGTCATTATTCTAATTTTAACAGGTTGATCTGGAAGGTTCTGATGGATACAATAGAATAGCGATATTCAGTCATAGACAGCTTTCTAAGTAAGTTTTTCATCACTCTTTTCATGCTGCTTATTTGGGTAACCCGCTCACCCTATAAGAGGAAATTTTGGCTTATTGAGTGAAGAGTACCTGCATGCATCTTTAGTCGATGAAACCTGAATGTTAGACTTTAATTTTGTAAACGGAAGAGAATTTCATATTGTATAGATGACACATGCTAAGAACTATGTATCTTTGTTATGGTTCACCACATATCATGATACATCTAGCTCTAAAGCTTTTTTGCTAGAATTCACACTTCTGTTGGAGTTACAGCAGAGGCAATAAGGGACAATGGCCACCACGGGTCTTGTGGTGTGTAATAGAAATTTCAAGACAATCTAGCAGGCACAAACAGAATATGAAATCAAGCTAATGACAACTTTTATAATGTTAAGTCTTTGAATGAGAAACATCTATTTTCAGCACAAAGCATTGCTTGTTGTCCGAGGAAAGCTTCCTATGAAAATGCTGAATTCGTTCCGGGACCATTGTGGGTTGGGTATTTTGACCTTATGGAATATAATGAAGTGCATGGATGAACCTTTAAATGTTTTCTTCAGGTTGTATATCTGTTGCTTCAATGTCTCTTTCCCATTTTTGCGGTACATTTTGTGCCCTTCTTGAGTTGGACAAATAGATTCCAATGAATTCATTGAATAGGTGTTCTAATGAGTTTTAAAAATGACCTTGAAACAGGAAGTT